GTGACACTGTGAGAGTTACTTATTGCTTGTACTTACTGACCGGCTATCTGATCTTCATTACAGAGAGAATACAGCTATTGATAAAAGCCCACAGTCTATTGGAAATTCTTTCAGTGATGCTCACACCAAATCTAAACCACATATAACTCCATCACCTCTATCTTCACCATGTATGTTTACCTGAAGTCTAACGGTCTGCCGCATGATCCAGTCTACCACAATTAAAACGACAGACTTGTCTTACTCCTGTATTCACTTCAAATGCTTCGGTGATCTTTTCATTGTAAAATTACTTGGCATGTGACGTCATCATATAGCTGTTGAATGAGATTTATAAATGTTTATGGCACTCCTTCCTATAATGTTATAGTAGTTGCCAAATTACCTTACGGTTGACGCTGTCGAATGCGTTTGCATATTTCATGGAGTTGAGTTGCATAGGTGACTGCCATTCTCCGCTCTGTTCGATGATGATGGTGAGGTGTATTGTTGTAATTTAATGTCCGCATGATCTGCTTATTTATGAATCTAGCCTGTTCCCCTCCAAGTCTATTTAACCTTTCTAAGAAGATATAGTTGGGAATATTGTTAGAGGTAGACAGGAGAATGATACTATGCTAGCTGTTGAATTTTAGTTTGAGCCGCACATGATTCGTTTTCCTCTTGAATTCAGCCATACTCCATAAATCACACAAAGGGAGGGGAAAAAATTTAATCAAAATGTACTCCAGAAAGCATAAGTAAGCGAAGATTAGTGAGGATTTAATGGTTCTGAGCGATCCATAGATAACGACTCTGAGTCATGTCACCATTCGACTCCAATCATTTGGTTCTGAGAGTCTCGAAGACTTCAACCAATGTGGCTGGCTATATTTAATCAAAAGTCAAAAACCTTTGAAGAGTTTTTTTTCTGTAGGGATTCAAGTTTAATCACAGATTGATATCAGTTAGAGAACCATTGGAAACCAGGGAAAACAGTTAGATAGCTGTTTCGTCTAAGTTTAGATTTATTGGAAGTATGCACCTACTGCCTGGGCTCGAATCCAGGACCTTCCGGTTGCAAGACCATTCAGTCACTGGAGCCCGACTCGATGGCAGCTTATAAATTCTAACTTCTACCTATTCGTGATGTTAGCGCGACCACCAACCAGTGTCAACAGCGAGTATTTGTCCTTACTTCCAACTGGGGGACCACTGGTCACAACTTCCCACTGGAACTGCAGTCAACCAAATCAATTCCCTAAAATCAAACTCTTGAAAATTAATCTAATGCTCACTAGAGACTTATTACAAGACGAAGTTTCCTGGAGTTCTAGTGAGAAGTCGTGGCCAGTGTGGTCCCCTTCCCCCGGTCGACAGTGAGAACAAATATTAGCCACCGATGACATTAGCTGATGGGCGAGTTAAAATCTCGAATTGTTAGAATTCATGGGCTGACCATTAGATTCCGTCATAGTAGCTTAACGGTCTACGGGCTTGCCTTGTAACCAGAAGGTCCTGGGTTCGGAACCCGTTGAGTGCGTACAGTCGAAGAGATCATGGCTTGATTCCAAGTTTTGATTCAACTAGCTCTATTTTCCAACCTCATCTTTTGTCAAGCAATACATTGCCCGATGAAGAAGCCGATAACTTGGCAAAGACATGTTGACATATGCACTATATTTAATCAATCATTAGAGAATGGTGTCAATGTGTCCTACATGCTTCTTTCAAAAATATTTTTATTTTATTGTGTTTTCTAATCTTTCAGATGACAGTTTTTCCCAGAAAAGAAAAGACATTGTCCAACTGGTAACTACAAAAGCTTCTAATTGACAGATTGGAATTATTTTGCCGTAACTCTTATTTCTTTTTCGGTGTATCATTGCATATTTCCATTCTGTATCATTACGGATATTTGAACAATGGGGAAAAGATATGAGGTGGAAATAATTCCCATAAAAGAAAAACATAATTTTATTGGATTGGAATTCTTCCTTATGTGTTCTTTCTGTTTTGTTGCTGAATATTGTTTTAAACCTTCCTCTTTTTGTATACTATTAGCTGATGATGAAACAAAATATAATGGGTTAACGCTATTACGTAACTTCATTTCATCAATAAATCTGAGTGTGAAATGAAGCTTCAAGCATCAGCTTTGAAGTTTCAGTAGCGGTGGCGTTTATTTCTTACTGCGTGGAGTTGTTGGCCCCACGTCAAACCTTTCCTCTTTACCAAATTCGCTACCAGGTTGGCGAAGTTTAGGAGTGAATCGGCCAAGGATCGAATCTCGGACCGCATGACCAGTCAGTCAGAATTAAGTCACAGACGTTACCACCCAGCTATTCGGTTTCAAGACTGACCTCCTATAGAACTATAATGGATTTTGAGCCATATCACCGATAGTCTTCAGTCGTCATTGATTTTTACTGTCCCGAGGACTCCAACCACGAAGTCTACACCTTCTTACGCGACTGGTTGGCTTAAACTAACTGTTGTAGATTTCATTGACTGGTGCCATGTTTTGGTTTTATCACCACTAGCTCTTTTCCAGCCTGACCCTATGTCAGCTAACATCGCCTGTCGAGGACGGAGCCAACTGTTGAGCAGTACACCCGCCCTTTGGTCGATGGCCGGATATCACGTCTACGCCAGAGACGGCGTAAACTGGCATATGCAAAACTAGCCCTCTGTATCCGTTGAGTGATACCTACTTGATTGTCTTAACTTCTTAAATGTAGTAGGTTAAATGGAACATTTTCTTAGAAATCGACTCGATATGGGATGACCAAGAAAGGTTAGAGGATAGAACTATTCCAAAGTATTTTATGCTTGACTTAGTTTCTACTTTAATATCCTCTATGCTATAAACATCTTGTGAACGAACCAGTTCGTGTAGATCACAGTTATACCTGAAGGTGAAGTTAACTGTTTCACATTGAGAAGGATTTAATATAAGACCATTTACTTTAGACCCTCAGCTGACGTTATTAAGTTTGGGACAGTCAGATCGGGACGTACCTGGCAGTGAGACAGTCAGATTATCAGCGTGTTTAACGAAACTGATTTCAACCAAAAGAGGCAAGTCATGTAAGAAGAAAGAAAAAAAGAAAAGGATCGAATATATCAACCAATAAAAAATAAGTCACATGACCAAAAGATCAAATTTTAGGCCAATGAGAAGATAAATATAAATACATCAAAGCAAGAATCGGAAAAGCAAGACAAGCTTTCACTACTCTCAAGTCTGTGTGGAGGTCAACAGCACTCAGCATCAAAAATAACATCCGGATTTTCAACTCTAATGTGAAGTCAGTGCTACTATATGGATCAGAGACTTGGCGTGTCATGAAGAGCATCTCAAACAAACTACAGACCTTCATTAACAGTTGTCTTCGCTCAATACTCAAGATCAGATGGCCAGAAAAGATCAGAAACAGGGATCTCTGGCAATGAGCGAACCAACCAGAAACTAATTGTGCAACGAATAAGCAGGAAGAAATGGAGGTGAATTGGACTGGCCATACTCTGAGGAATCCATCAAGTGACATCTCTAGACAGGCCCTCGAGTGGAACCCGAACGGAAAGCGGCGAGTTGGTCATCAGTGCAAGGGTGACTTGGAGGAGGTCATGTGAAGAGGAGATGAAAACGTGTGGGCAGACTTGGAGCCAGGTGAAGACTCTAGCAGAGAACCGAACGCAATGGAGACGCGCGGCTGAAGCCCTATGTTCCTCAAGGAATTAAAGGAAACAATAATAATACATGTGGAAATCTATGAGAAACAACCGGTCACAGTGAAGTTCATCACGAAGCAATGAAAGCTACGCAATTGAGGTATTCATCTTCGAGAGCATAATAACACTCAAAAGACATCCACTAGAAGTACAAATCTTCTCCACTTTTTCAACAAATAATGAGTCTAAGAGGTATAAAACATACTCTCACGTCCTCTTATAACTCTCAGAAGACATTTTTGACATCTTTCGATGTCACTGCTCAACTGGATTAGATTATCTATTTGGACAAAAAGGAAATCTAAACTAAAATTAATCAACATCCGACCATAAAAATCTCATAATCCGAATATCAATCCCCTTCTAGATCATTAGTAATGGCTACTAGATGGATGCATTGAAACTCTGATGATAAAACGTGGTCAGGAGTTAAGTGGATGCTCATCCATAGCATTGCCGTTGACGGTAGCGCTACATCATGCACTCATCAAAGTAAGAGCTTGCACCTCTTAACCTCAAAGTCCCAGTGGCAAACTTTGATGCGCACTGCGATGGTGTTGTTGATCTTTTTTTTACGGAGTGAGGTTGGTTATCTGACGCCCAACATTTCCTCTTCTCTGTTAGTTATTAAACTGAGTAAAGTTTGGGAGTGGCTCGGAACTCCTCCTTCATGACAAATGTCACATAAGCCGTTGTATGGGCCGCGAAATGTTGTCAGTAATCAGTCTACTAGAGCCGAAGCAACGCCCTACCGCGCTTTACTCCTAACTATCTTTAAGCTAGGCATCGGTCCAGTCTGATCCTACAGTATCATCACACACTTGACAGGAGCAAATCGCATGTCAAATATTAGAGACGATTACTCCTCAAAAGGTTCAGAAGGCTAAGCATTTTATCAGCATCTTCCCCCACGAGGACAACATCATCCGCATACTCTAACTCCCCGGTAACACGTCAATCCCTAAGTCGAAAAAAAGTCAATTAACAAAAATATGGGTAACGGGCATCCATGACAGACGTCGCTAGTCGTCATTGCTTCCTTTCCCGACTTACTGTCGGCTATTAAACTAGGTGTAGTTCAGGAGTGCATCCGCTAGGAGTCAACCTCTTGCACAGATTATGCCATTTAACCAGTGACCCCCCTACTACTCAAATGAACTAGGATAGGAAAGAAATTAAATCAGAGACAAGAGAAAGAAAGCTACTCATCTTGTCAATGACTAAAAATTTATTATAAACCAAGGAAAATAAAGAGGTAAAACGCAGTGTCTCAAATTATACTGTTGGTCAAGTAAATCAGTTAAAAAAATATATATAAATACAAATAAGTAGTAAAAGAGAAAAATAGAAAAATATAAGTAAATAAATATTCTCTTTTTACATGAAGTAATAATAACAATCTATAAGTCAATTTCAAAATCTTCGCTATTCAACTGTCTATTAAGTATACTCTCACTGTTCATGACCATATTGAAACCGAATGATATAATATCCTCCTGCTCCTTATTGTTGTCATTATCACGGATGGAAGAACACTTAACACCGTCTTTAGTTTTCATCAGATTAGCTGTCGATATCGGCAATTTATTCATTGAAATATTGTATGAATTAGAGGATGTATGTTTATTCCATAAGGGTTTTCCACTCAATATAGCATTCCCATAATCATCATCATCGTCAGTAGACGGAAGGAGGTAGTTCTTATGACTGTCATCATGATTACTAGTATTACTACTACTAATATCTACAACAGATTCGTTTACTGCTGTCCATTTAAACTTTTTCGATGATGGCGTCATCACCACAGATGTTGTGTCATTCTCTTGATCTACTGACAAGCATGACATATCATGTTGATGTAGCCTTTTATTATTAGCTGATTGACTGTGTCGTTGTCCCAGTTCTTGCGGCCACCGTTGTTGTTGTTGGTGGTGGTGTTGCTCTTCGTCCCCTGGACTATTCGTCTTCAGCATATTTTTCTTTCTGTTATTATTTACAAGTTGTGTTGAACTAAGTAATGGTTCTAATTGTATATTATCATGATATTGATGATGATTGAATTGTTTCAATTTGTTTAAATTATCCACACGTTCAATGTGTTCAACAGATTTACTACTACTGGTGTTGTTGCTGCTATTTAAAGTTGTTAATATTAACTTTTCAATTTGTGCATAATCATGACTTGCATTCTCTGGGATATTGGTTGAAACAATTAATTCAGGTGAAATACATTTTGACAATGAAATACTCGGACTGAATTCAGTATTACCACCACCTCGGCCATGACCATCATCACCTCTGATAGAACCAGTTGAATATAGCGAACAGTCGACTAGATAGATTACGACAACAGCATCCTAGAGAAATAAAGAATGAGGAGAGGGATTACAGAAATAGGCAAGTAAAAATGCTTAGTTATTGAATATCTTAAGTATGATTACTTATGGTGATTAGAGTGGAATGATAACCTGGTTAACAGTATTTGATCGCCATGACGTCGGCTACACACATCCAATTTTAAATGGTTTATGAAGTTGAGCCTATATTAAAACCACTGCAAGGTAACAGGATTTTCATCATGAGCTGACATTAGTTAGAGAACCATTGGAAAACCCGGGAGTACTGGACAGCTGTTTCGTCCTAGTTTGGGACTCTTCGTCAGTACGCACCCACCGGGATTCGAACCCAGGACCTTCTGGCTACAAGGCTCACTAGCGACTTGCCCTATTCAGGTAGGTAGTTACCTGGGGTTCTAGTGAGAAGTCGTGACCAGTAGGGTGCAGCAGGTTGGGTGTGAGGACAAATACTCGCCGAAGACATTGGCTAGGGGTCGCGCTATGTCGTGAATTGGCAGAAGTTAGAATTCATGGGCTGGCCATTGGATCGGGTTACAGTGGCTTAATGGTCTACGAGCTCGCTCGCCTTGTAACCAGAAGGCCCTGGACTCGCACCTTGGCGGTGGGTGCGTACTGTGGAGAGTCCCAAACTGGGACGAAACAGCTACCCAGTACTCCCAGGTTTCCCAATGGTTCTCTAACTAATGTCAACTCATGATGAAAATCCTGTAACCAAGCAAATCCCTACAAACCAACACTTGAACACTGCAAGGTAAGTTGGAATGTACAATTTTCGGGGTTGACTCCGTCTAACCCGCTCCCCACTATCCAGAGCAGATAGGCAGTATAGCTGATATGATGATCACCTGAGGGAAACAGCTTATTAATATCACGACCCCAATCTCTAGCAGTACAACTTTGCCCACAAACCCCCAACATATTGTAAATCACTTACACAATAATGGTAACTACTTTTATTCTAACAGCTGTTTAAACGACTATTCCCGCATGGTGGGACCTTCAGGAACAGTAGTTCCAGTCAGTGTAACCTCATGGGTCACTACGATATGTAGGCCTGACCATAGCGTCAAAGTAGCAGGGTATCGGTAGGCAGTCTGACTAGTAGATTCAGATCCCACATCTTCAAATCCTACTGATAAACACCACCGTCAAATCACAACCCATTTTACACGTATAATAACCATCTTCAAGTGCTGCCTCACAGGAATTTAATTGATTTTCTAAGTTACGTAACAAAATAACATCATTTAGAGAGAACCACTGAGAACTACTGCGGAGTAGTGGAGTGCTATTCCGTCCCAATTTCAAGAATCCTCAGATGCAGGCACTCCTGACTCCGACAGGGATTGAACCCTGGCAGTTCAGGTTTCAAGGCCGTAAAGCTTTCAGCTACAGGAATCAAATACAATGACTCATCAATGTTAACATCCGTTCATTCGTGATATATATAGCGCAACGACCAGCGATTCGGCACAAATTACAATTCATAAGCCCTTGCGTTCCAGCCCTATGAAAGAATGGTCAACCGGCTCACCACCTTGTAATCTGAAGGTCTTGTGTTTGATCTTTGGTAAATTCATGGGTGTGTTGCTGAAGAGGCCCGAATTGGAACGAAACAGCTATCCACTACTGAAAGGTTTTTAAATGATTGTCTAATTCATGTCAGTTTCTGACCTAACATGTTATGTCTATTACACACCATCAATCTGGATGACACTACAGTATAAATCAGGTCTATGCAATATCGATTTATCTAACAATTACGCAAGCAATCTCTAGTTATTAGATAGGGGTGATTATAATATGAGAATGATGCAATTGTGATTCCAAATACCCCAAACAAAATTCTAATCATCAAATCTAATCAAATTTGCCAATTACACAGTTCGAAGAGATGAAATTTCATCAAAGTTTCCTTCGAAACTTCAGATCAAAATATGTGTGTGGATCTGCTTGGTGTTGTAAGCGGTAATCAAACACGAAAGCATAAATGCGTAAAACCATATACTACTGATTGACTGAGATGAGTAGTTGTTTACTACTCACAAAAACCAGTAGTGCTTGCTAACCGGCTAGATGGAAGTATCAACACCAGACGGTCATTCCAGTCGTTTTGAGCTCATCAGAAGTGTAACCAGTATGACTCATCTCAGAGAGCCAAATCAGTTAAAGTCATCCAATTGCTGGCTAGTGTTGAACAAGTTCGTTCAAGTAGCTGGCCAGAAATTGAATATATATTATTCACAACTACTCAATTCAATTAATAAGTAGTATGCAGCTTTATGCATAAATTCCAATCACTTGGTAATTCCAAAGATATAAACTGGAAGTTTGGAAAACTAACGACTAACTCTGAGGAACTTGGAACAGAAAGGAACAATTTCGATAATCATATATGACAGTGCAGTCAAAAAGAAAATAATAGTAGTAAAATCCATGACACGTGCTTCGTCTCATTTGGGACTCATCATCTGGACGTACTTGCATTACCACTGAGTGGAGATGTCCCAAATGGGACCTGAACTCAGCACCTGAAACTTACTGGGAATGCAAGTATATATCCAGATGGTGAGTCCCAAATATGCGATGAAATACGCGTCATAGATTCCACTGCTAACCACTACTAATATTAAGGCAGTATTATTGAAGCATTTGTACGAGAAAGTGATATGCTGACAGCGACTGAATATCTCGGCAAAATAAAATCAATCAATAGGGAATTCAGATAAACAACTCAAAAAATATAATATATTATTATAAAAAATTTTCACTTCCCAATGAACGAAAAACAACAAGACAATATTCTTCTATCCCAGTTCGGGACTCCAGTAGTGTGCACCCATTGGGGTTCGAATCTAGGACCTTCCGGTTACGAGGCGGGTTCGTAGACCATTCAGCCATAGGAGTCTAACCCAGTGGCCTATGAATCCCAACTTCTGCCTATTCGAGATATATATAGTGCAAACTTATAGTCAATTAATTCCCCGCAAACCAATACTAGATAATTAATCTGATGCTCACGAGAAACTCGCTCCATGTAGGGAGTTACCTGGAGTCCTAGTGAGAAATCATAACTAGCGGTGTTCACTGAGTCAGGTAGGAGATCAGTTACTCACCTATTGTATTGGCTAGCGGCTGCGCTATATATATATATATATATATATATATATATATATATATATACAGGGAATCGGCAGAATTTGGAATTCATGGGTTGGCCATTGGACCCTATGGATAAATGGTCTATCAACTCGCCTTGTAACCGGAAGGAAGGATCTTGGTTTGAACTCCAACGGGTGCTTGCTGGTGAATAATCCCGAACTGGGGTGAAACAGCTGTTCAGTACTCCTTGCTAGTTTTTCAATGATCCTCTGACTGATGTCAGCTCGTGTCCAGACTTGATGCCATTCTTTTACCTAGCGTTTCAGTTTTTAAAATGCTTCTTATAGCTTTATCAAAGTAATAATATTAAACCAGAATCTACAAAATCTCAGCTTGTATACAGTAACTTAATCACACTCGTGTTGGTTTTGTCACTTCATGACGGCAGGTGGAGTGTTGTAGACAAAACGAATTCTGCTTTAATCTGTCATTCAAATTCAGGCAATTCGGATTACACGTATTATGCGATGCTTCTGGTATGAGATGTTGGTTTTGATTATTGAAATTTTTCTGAATGATTTCATTATTGTCAAAGATCAGTTTCGTGGCCTAATTCTGTAGAAGGGTTATGGCTGATGACTTTTCAAGCTTTTCTAGACCCATTGGATTTCTCAGTGGTTTAATGGAGGCTCTACAGTGTGCTATATATTTCATCATATTCCAAGCATTTTATTTTTATAGTCACAGTTAGATTGTGGGTTGCTTGGAATTCGATCTTTCACATATGAACAAGATTGGTTTTGACTGGTTAGACGATTAAATCATGAGCTGATATCAGTTACAGAACTATTGGGAAACCTGGGAGTACTGGATAGCTGTTTCGTCACTAGTTTGGAACGCTAGTTTGCTCACTAGTAACTGGCCATATTCAGGTAGTTAGTTACCTGGGGTTCTAGTGGGAAATCGTAACCAAATGCGAACATCTGGAGCCTATAGAAGGACTGATAGGCCTGCAGGTCCACCTAGAGAAGCTGAAAAACCCTGATTTCAAACCTATGGTTCATATAGGACCAGGAATCCAATGGGACAGAATGGTATATGATCTTGCTTTGGTGACTGGTAGCCATAGGAAAGCTGCTCCACTACCATGTGGAACAGACTTTAAATCAAAAGCTCGAAGGAGTGGCCCTTCAAGACTACCACCTGCTTTAACCGGGGGGAGGTTTAAGCAGTATCCCCCGGAGCTTGCATAAACTATTAGACGACAATTTGTGTGGCGTATCTCTTGGTATCCTTGGCGTACTAAATCTGTGTGCTTTGATACATAATAATCAATAATAATTATACAAATAAATACGCTTACCTCTACAACAGCTTCATTTCGACACATTAGTCTAGCATGAGCTTTAGTCAAACGTACAAGACTTTCTAGCAAGCGTAATGTTCGTCGACCATGTGCACCAGCTGTGATATCATCACAAACAGCAGACATTTGACTACGTTGCCATACATAATATCGTTGAAGGAGATTAGCTGCTGCCAGAGTTAACTGTGGTTTGAAACGATCACGTATCCATACAAAATATTCTTTTAAATCATTTGTAGACCATAGACGTTGCTTAGATAATAAAAGCAAGAGCAAAAACAAATCGGGAAAATATCTTACTTGATACCCTTACAAGCAAATAAAAAATCAATAAAGAAGCGGAGTAATGAAACGTCTGTTCAATATTGGTCGGTCATATTATATCCTCCGCAACCCTTTCCCCTTAAAATTAGTAACAAGGAAGTCTGACCACCAAAACAGCCAAGAACTTGTCACTCAAACAAATATGCCGAAGCAAAGTGGAAATGGCTGACGAGGACCAATGAGTGGCACTACGCTCTGGACAGTCCTTCGAGTGGAACATTGAATAACAAACAGACGAGAGCTTATCGACAAATGTAGAGACAGAGAAAGTCAACCGCATAAAACAGGATGCAATGGAGATGTGCTGTTGATGCCCTATATTCCACACAGAACCCAAGGGAATAATATTATAGAAAAACAAGGTTATGAATAAATCTACCGTTAACGTATCCTGACTGGCTGAATTTCAGTGTAGACATTTCCACGGAAATGCAGCAGTTCAATTTGCTAGTATTTCAAGAGCGAGTGCATTCATCACTTCATATCACTTTCAGAAAGAGGTGAGAGTTAGAAATTGTGACATGTTTACCCATGACAACGATTTTCAGCTATATCTAACAATGTCTTGAGCCACTGATCCTAAATAACTCTTGAACGCTACGCAGGAAGTTGAAATATACCAGTAGATTTTAACCTAACTGATATATTACGGTCAATGTCCAGGGTCTGAAAATAAACCAATCCGAATAAGTCAACGAAACTTATCAACATAAGAATAGAACTTGTTCACTGTGGTAGAGTATAATTTCATTGTGGGTAAAATTTATTTGGATAAAGTCTCCCAGCATGTTATACAATAATATTTACTGATGACCACGTCTCAAGCACAATTTATCGCTCCTCATAATCATATCAACGTACTCACTTACACAACTTTTCGACTTCATTTATATGATTCCACTATTTTTCATCGCTTCACTTGATTGGTAGTAGTATTTTCCATATTTCCGGTATGAGCGATGAGTCATTCCTGTTGCACATGTTGGGTGTAGACTCGATGAACAAAGACACAATAATGAATAAGATTAAGAAATCTACAGCGGATTTAACACGCAGAATGAAGCCGTCACTGGGCGAGTCTAATTGGTCTTATTCAATGCTTAAAACTAATAATGCTAGTAGAATATATGCTACTATAAAAATACATAAGACAGGTTACCGCATACGACCAATAGTAGATTTTAGAAGTATGCCTACCTATGAATTATAAAAAACTTAGGTTTGATAATATGTTCCATTAGAAATCATTCAAACTCTAGGCTAACTAATTCATGTCAAATGAAAAGGAAACTAAATAACATTCAATTAGGGAATAATGAAAGAATGGTTAGTTTTGATATAACCAGTCTGTACACTAATATACCAGTCAGTATGGCCTTAGAAGTATTTAGAAGAGAACTAATTTCTGATCCCGAACTTAGTCATAGTGTAACAGTAGAAGACAAGGGCCAGGCAACAGATCGTTTATTAAGGAAATCAACACATATTTATAGATTTTAATGTACATTATTGTAGATTATTGTCAGTAGAAAATAAAGTCTTCTGATTGGTTGCTTCTCACTGAAAGTTAATTTTTCATCTCTTTGTGGGTGTTACTTGAATGTCAGATCATCTATCTGCTAATTTTATCCGCCTACGCAGTCTGCTGTGGTTGGTTGTTGAATCAGTCTTTGTTCACATTTTTCTCACGACCAATATTGAGGACGTAAACATTGACGTAAATAACCATCTGCCGATTTTGGCTAGCAGCCAGCTCTCACCACAATAGGACAAAGCTGCCAATTGAGGAAATTATTTTAGGAATTCCGTTATGCCTCACATCTACTGTCTTTAAATTCCAAGGCAAAATATATAGACAAACAGAAGGTGTAGCAACGGGATGGATCACCAATATCCCTTATCGTAGCAGATATATTTATGAACAGCTGGGAAAATATTGCTCTTAATACATTTAATCCTACTCCAAAAATATGGTGAAGATATGTGGATGACACTTTCACAGTGTTAAAAACCAAACATATCTCTAGCTTCTTGACACACATAAACTCACTAGTAGAGGGAATAAAATTTACATTTGAATCGGAAAATGAACATGGAGAATTAGCTATGTCAGATTGTAAAACAAAACGAACATGAAGAGATAAACTGCACACTCGTGTTTATAAAAAACCAACGCATTCTAATAGATATTTAAACTTTAATTTATCTCATCCGTTAACTGTTAAGGCAGGCTTAGTCAAGTGTTTAACAAACCGAGCAGTAGCACTAAGTAGTACAACAAAAGACCTAAATGATGAAATAAAACAGATAGAAGAAACGTTAGTGTTAAATAACTATCCCATAAAGTTCATTAGGAAGATCAGAAAAGGTCAAAATCAAAGTAAAAATAATGGTGAAACTAATAAGTATAATAATCGATTTCAGCCTAGCACGTTTGTCACACAAATACGATTATTTATTTTGACACCCCATAACTAATCTTTTATTCCACATAAAAAATATATCCGCCGCATAACTGGCTATCATTATTGTAACGACAACAAATATTGTATTTTATAATTGTAAGAACCTGAAGAGAGAAATTATTGAAAAGAATATTCTTCGTTCAGATTGACTTTTAATAAGGATAACATAAATAAGAGAGAACATAAGGCATCTACAGTTTTACCTTATAAGGAGGAGACATCTGAAACATAAGAATTTAGCTAAGGTTAGAATGGTTGACCCCACTTGTGAAGATAAGTAATTTAGAAAAAGCTCAGCGATTGCACTGCATGCATTAACACACAACCACACAATAGGATGGGAGAGGGTTAAAATTCTAAAAAGTAATCTAGGTAGATGGAGATAGAGGTTGATTACTGAATCCTTGTTTATCAGGTCTACACCCAACATGTGCAACAAGAATGACTTATCACTCATACCGGAAATATGCAAAATACTACTACCAATCAAATCAAGCGATGAAAAATAATGGAATTGTATAAATGAAGTTAGAAAGTTGTGTGAGTAACTTTAAAATGATTATGAAGTGCAATAAATTGTGCTCGAAACGTGGTCATCAGTAAATATTACTGTATAAAACTGTGAGAATTTATCAAAATAAATTTTACCCACAATGTAACTGATCGATGTCCAACCTGAAAATAACCAATCAGAATTGGCCAAAGTAAAATAACACCCACTATTTTATTGATCGTGATTACAAACTAATTGACACATCCTTGTTGGTATTTTGAATCACACATTATTGCGTGAAATATGCTTTGCTGTTCACGTCATTGTGTGTTCTCGTTTAAGTAGTGACGGCTGGGGACACAAGTAGCTGTCGTATAATGGTTGTTGGCATGGTCAGCCGATAGTCATGATCAACGCGTCTGTGTCCAACTTGGCGTTTCTGTCTCCCTCTCAACGCATTGCGAAGCACAAGACTAACACAACCACTCTTCATTCCATGGAACCACATCATCGAATGATCATCTCTTTTTGCTTTTTCCACTCAATTCTAGGGTTAGCAAAGATTCAACAGCAGGCGAGCCACTGAGATGAGATTCTTAATACATGTCAAAGCCACCGAAGCTGGTGGGTGCTCAAAGATAACATAACTTGACACTCAACGTGTTCAGATACATGTCGCCTAACCTTAACATCACCTACATGATGACGCCACCAGACGCAAACAAATGTACGGAGGCAGTGATAACCGAAAACGCGGCAGTTGCCACATATTTTCAGGTTTTCCCAGGTGTACAGCAGGACTACGTCCACTAAAAAAGTAGTGGACCTTTGACGGCTGGGTCAACATTATGACAGTGCCAGAAGTGACGCAAGTTGGCATATGTCACCCTGACTTTCACGATACTATTAGAGCGGCCAATGTCTTCATTTCAGTACAAACGCTGCCTAGTGGAATGCTTGTGTTTCAATGTCCCGTGAAATTTTGAGCAAGCGACATATTGATTAATGAACTACAGTGCATAGTACATTCAGTTTCGCAGACTAATTGATACCCCGAAAATTTCGTTGTTTATCACAGCAAAAAGAAACTACCCTTGGATAGGACAACCTCTGTTAAGAAGAAAGCTTCAACACAACGGTGACTACATCAGTTGATGGCTCATCGTCCTCGATCAACAGTCGAGTTCATACTATACACATCCCTTCTTCTAACTACTAGAACACTTTCTCTTCCTATCCTCACGATTAGAGAATGAAATCCTATTGACTCTGTCACACTGTATCTACAAATTCCCCTGCAGTTGTGGATGAACGTTCCGATATCATCGGAAAGAAAATGCTCATCCTTGGGTTATTAAATTCACAAACAAAACCCAAAAATACTTAATTTATGTGGTATCATCCATCGCAAAGTATTTGCCAATGAATGTTTGGTCATAAAATCAATATTATCGATTATTCTCTCAATTAAGCCATCTCAAAAAGATGAAAGAAAAGGATGAATACCTTATTTTTCCCATTATTCATCGTCGAGTTTCTCGGTTGATCTAAATCCAAAACAAAATTAGCAATTCGACGATCCCATTCAACTGAATCAATAGGGTCAACTAATCGCCATATCAAATCGAAGCGACTTAACAATGGAGTTGGTAGTCCAAAATCTTCACTTCCACTAGCAACAGAACTTGGAGTTGGATTGGCAGCTGCTAAAACAGAACAACGACAATTAAGTCTAGCCATGAGACCAGCTTTAGCTAAACTAATCGTCTGTTGTTCCATTGCTTCATGTACTGCAGCACGATGTGCTCCATGCAATGCAGTAAACTCGTCTATAGCACACAAGCCACCATCAGCTAAAACAAGAGCACCAGCATCTAATGTCCAACCGCTAGAATCACGTACAGCTGTAGCAGTTAAACCAGCTGCAGTAGTTCCTGTTGCAGCTGTTAATACAGCTCTTTCACAAAGAGCTGTACATCCACGTAGGAGGACTGATTTCGCTGTACCAGGATCACCAATAAGTAGAATATGAGGATTTCCTCGAATACGTATGGAGAGTTCATCAACTCCTGTTGAAGATTCACCTATTGAAAAAAACATAGTAATAATGAAGTCAAAAATGTTATACTCTGATTACAATTTAAAATTTAGAGAACACAAAATAATTGAGCAAAGAATATCCTTTTCGATAAATTCCTCTTCTGGCTCTACAATTACATATATATGTTTATATACATAGAATATTCTAGAATAGTAGTCAATAACAATATTAGTGATTTTTAAATAATATCGATTTGTAAAGTAAGATCACAATGGAATTACAGTTCATTAAAGATGCTTAAATTATAATAAAAATAATATAATATCAAATAGAATATCAACTAAAATTGGGGAAATTTCTACAAAAATTCAGGATCATTCGAACCTAAATGGCCAAGGTAAGGATAATGTCTGAACTAACTTCTTTTGGACGCACAAATTAGGCTTCTTAATATGGATCCCAACAGCCTCAGCAATTATTTTGTGTTTTATAGATGTCTGAATGAATTTAAAATTTGTCTTAAAAAAATACAACACTATTTTATAGATAAATGCAGAATCCGAGTGTTGGTTTGCAGGGATTTGATTGGTTATAGGATTTCATCATGAGCTGATATCAGTTACAGAACCATTGGAAAACCTGCAGGGAGTAGTGCCAGACAGCTGTTTCCTCCGTTCCAGTCTGGAACTATTCTGCAGTACGCACCCGCCGCCAAGGTCTGAACCTAGGACCTTCTGGTTACAAGGCGGGCGAGCTCGTAGATCATTGAGCCAGCCACTGGGACCCGATCCAGAGGCCAGCCCATGAATTCTAACTTCTGCCAATTCACGACATAGCGCGACCACTAGCAAATGTCTTCAGCGAGTTTTTGTCCTCACACCTGTTGAAGAGTCCTGTCCAGTACTCCCAAGTTTTCTAATGGTCCTCTAACCAATGTCAGCTCATGATGAAATCCTGAAATGCAGAATCATTACAATAAGTATAGTCATCATTCATTGTTAGGCTCTACTGGATAGATTCTCTGCGTGAACTATTGTACCAGCAGTAGATATATGGAAGATTGTCTGTCAATGATTAGAATGGAGAAGAAACAATAAGGAAAACGAAAATAACTTAAAATCTCCATTCTAAATAAATAAGAAATAAGACGGAAATATGGCCCACTGGTAGAAGAAATTCATAAGAACTATAATGAACGGAAATGTACAGAGTAAACAACAATAACATGGAATGAAAAATAATAAGAGGATTCAATGGAACTTCAAGATTACAAAGAGTGAGTGTGAATTTCCACCAGTGACAAGGATTTTATGCCGTACCATTAAAAAAGCGAGTGATTCAGTGAAGAGACTCTTTCCAACAACGAATTTATTATCAAGCTGTACAATCGTATATATATGGTCTTTTAAAGAAATTATATACCGTCAGGAAATTTAAACAAAGCTGTGAATACATAAAATAATAATAGTAGTAGTATGAAATGCAATTAAAATATTTTTGATTATAATCATAGTTAAATGCCAAGTAGCAAAACAATCAGTGTCATATATAGAATAATACATAAGGTGTATAGATGTTGGAAAGGGGTGCATAATTACAGGATTAGTAGGCGAATATAAAATGTTACATAATATGGTGTGAAATTTGATGAGATAGAATATTGTGAAAAAAATTTTGAATCTAGAATGATAAACGAGACAAGCGGAAACAATTCAGAGTGAAAATAGTAATAATAATGATAATAGTAGTAATGAGGGAAAGGTACATAGATTAACTCAACAGAAAAATAATAAATAAATGTCTATCCCTCTACGGTCAAGGCAGAAGTAGGGATAGTACATACTTCTTTTGTACACAAAGGTCTGGCTTAAAATAATGAATGACCTATGCCTCCACTGTCTTTAGAAGTCTATAACGAAGAAAACGCGACAAATTAATTAGCATGGCTTCTTTAGATGATCTTAAGATCATGGTCAAGGTTCGTGGAGTGACAGGAGTCAATCAGATGTTCTAGAATAGGGATTCGCATACACTTCCTTACTCCCTTGTAAAACCATGCTTCTGAAATATGTTCTCATAGCCGTGTGGAAACCATCCTCTGGCTACGGCCAATATACCTTGCCTCATAAGAGCAGGTGAACTGATAGATGCACACGGAGGCGACTAGACGGGGGAGCTTATCTTTTACAGAGATGGAGAACAACTTGCGGCTGGTTAACGTCATTTGTAACGACTGTGATTATAATCAAAAATATCTTAATTACATTTCATACTATTAATATTATTTCATGTATTCACACCTTTGATCAAATTCCCTCACCGGATATAATTTCTTAAAAACGATATATATATATATATATACGGTTGCACAGCTTGGTAATAAATTTGTTGAAAAGAGTCTCTTCGCTGAATATTCTGTTCTTAATGCTAAAATGGGAATTATTAAATAATACCATTAATAGCCTCAAGATATTGGTTCTTGCAGTTTCGAGAACCCCAGCCAAGCACTTTACGTGGGTGGCTTATATCAACTGCCAAAAACTTCACGGATTGTTGTCATGTTTTCATTTCACTAATACTCTGACTTTTTCAATCTAATCCTATGCCAGCTGTTATTGCTAGACGAGAAGAGCGACAGCTCCGCATGTGCAACATGTATCATATAGCCGTTTCAATCGACGCAGCTTCACAACCTCGTTGACTGACTCCCCTTCCGTACTTAGCATTCTACGCCTACCGTTAATATTGCTCAAAACATTAGACTGTTTAACACGCGAGATAGAATGTAAACATCAGTGGCAAAAGACAGCTAGTCACTTCAATCAAGTTTTCCACTTTTAAAGGCCATTTCCCACAACCATACAGGATGCACAGCAGTAGAATGCCAGCCAACCACGCCTCATGTGGTTCGGGGTTCGATGCCCGGCCACCAACGCACTCCTTTACCTCGCTAAGTCAGTAATAAAACTATTAAAGAGGGAAGATTGGGCATGGGGCTAGCAACCCCATCCCGTGAAAAAATAAACATCACTGCTACCGAAACTTCCAGGCTTTAGCTTGAAACCCTATATTCCACTGGGAACATAAAGGAATAAAAAGAAAAACAATACAGGATGCGGAGAACTGCCGCGCAGTGCGCACGTCATCCGATCGATAGACGGATATAACGTTTACACTTAGGGCTGATGACTCTTGGCAGATGCTATATCAGACTTCTGTATCCCTGCTGAGATTCCGTCAGCAATCAATCCATTGAGGCTGATACAACTTCCCAAATTAGTGAGATGGTTTATTGACATAAGTACTCAGCTTTCAGCCAGTAAGTTCCGCTTCTGAATACATCAATATCTATTTCATATTGGGCAAATGGATACTGTCACCAATCCTCACACAATACTGGCACGGCTTATAACTTGGTACATGAAATATTTGTTCCAAGTAACTGAGTTTAAACAACAATTTTTCTTTCCTGAAAAAAACACACTGATAAGCGATGTACTCAAATGAATTACTAATCAATGAGTTCCAAAAATTGCTTCCGAAAGCCTCTAAAGTGATTAAATTTGGCTACATACTCGGTTGTGATGTTGAATCTGAAAGATGAATTATCTACCTCTCACTTCCATGTCATCATTCTTATTTTTCCTTTCATCGAAAGAAGACACATCGGCTGACTGGCTTTCGGAGGGCTTTCACCAGCCCACGTCATTTTGTCTCTCCGATGCCAGCGAAGAGTAAGTTTTTTTATATTTTTTATATTTTGGCTGTGCATTGGAGTTTCCATAGCAGTTTAATTGATCTTCCAGGATAGGGTAGCTGGTCTTACACCTAACCTTCCCTCTTCTCCTCGGCTTGGGGTTGTTGGCTAGAAAATTAGGCGGCTAGTAAACTACAAGAAGTTGTGTCTACCTCTTACTTACTTAATTACTTATTGATTACTTTGCGTTCCAAATGGAACATAGGGCTTCAATTTCGAGCTCTGAATCTTTTTTGTAGCGATGGTGTCTTTTTTTGCAGAGTGAGGTTGCCAGCCACAAGCTCAACCTACCCTATTTTTCCTAGACTACTGTCAGTTAGTGTAGCGGTCATCATGGCTACCTTCCAAGCAGTCGATCCGGGTTCGACTCCCAGCGGTCGCAAGAGATTGTGCGCCGGTGGCATAGCGGTTAGGACGCTCGCCGACCATGCAAATGGTCCGGAGTTCGATCCCCGGCCACAGACGCACCCCTTTACCTCCCTAAGCTATAAATAATGCTGGTGAAGAGGAAAGGTTGGGCATGAGGCTAGCAACCCCATCCTGTAAAACAAACACTGCTACAGGAACTTCAAGCCACAAGCTTGAAGCCCTATGTTCCACTGGGGAACGTGAAGGAAAAAAACTGTCAGCTAGAGTAAACTAGGCGAGATTTAGGAGTTCATCGGTCAGTAATCGAACCACGGATCACGTGTGGCTGTGAGCACTTTACGCTTGAATCATTGACGCAACTAGTTACCCTTTAGTGAAAAGCAATTCAACTATCGCTGAAGCACTAGGTACACTAATGTTTATCATATGGAACTTAATATTTTGCAAACAATTACCAGTGTGTATTTAAATGTATTGAGAGTTTAATATCAGTACACCTAGTGTAAACACACCACACAGCATACATACTGAAGAGTCATCTTCCTAATAAACTACACAAAGCCAATAACAACCGAATACTGTTAACAAAGGATGCTGTGGAAATTCGTTTGAAAAAGTCGTCGAAATTATTTGTTAACAGTGTTCACCTACAACCCCCCCCCCCCACCAGCCGCCAACAAGAGGAACAGAACATGGAACATTAGGGTTATGAAGTAAAGCTCACTGACCATTCAGTTAATTGGGCAGAAATTCAATGAGCTGTGAATCGTAACTATGTCAATTAGTGTTAATGCAATGCCACTGTCAACCAATGCTATCGATGGATATCCACTACGCTCACAATGACAAGACGAACCCCACTGGTGACAACTTTTCATGAGAGAGAGCTTCAGGACATCCATTCGAACACACACAAAACCAATAAACTAAATATTCGTCACTGTCTATTGTAACCCATATATAACTACGATTGTACAGCTAGAAAAGTTGAAGCCATTACAAAGGTAAGATTTTAGTGAAGCTGTTTATTTCAATATCAGATCAAGCTATCTACCTATCTGAGATGAAACAAACATTCTGTTTGGTGAACTTAAATACATATGTAATGAATTTCAGCTGTTCATGTTATGGGTGATGACTGAAGGTAGCAAAATGAAAATCTAGATCGAGGCAGGATTCGAATTAGCGGCCTCTGAACTACTAATCCAGAGCCCTACCAGCTGTAAAAAATTATATTTGTAAAATCTCAGCGATATTGAAATAAGTAATTCCAACGTTTCGTTCGGCAATCTGGTCCGAACTTCTTCAGGGAAATTAATCAAAATTAACATAACAGAGGTTTTATATATAAAAGGCACATCTTTTTAAAAACTTTGTCCAATCATGATTCATAAACACAAGTATTAACAAGTATAATAAACAAAATTGTATGAGCTGTGATCAAAATTTGACCTCGGACTTACAAATATTGGTCTACCTTTGTTAAATACTTTAAACACAGTGTGCATGCGTGTGTGTGTAAACAGTCGTAAAACATTTCTTAACGTCTCAATAGGAAGATATAGACAGTCAGGAATTTGACCAAGTATTATTAATTAGTGATACAAATCCATTTTTATTTATTAATCAGGATTTCCTATGCATCAGCTAACATCAAACCTCCATGTCCGTTCAAACTGCTAGTATCTAGAATTTTATGATTAGACGTATTTTCAAAATTATGGTGTTTAGGATTAGAGTTTAGTTTAAGCACCCTGTCGAACTTATTGCATTGTCTTCTTTCTGAATATTGAGCTGCTTTATTCGACCTACTGGGGTTGTCAGGTGACTCGACAGCTACGGATTTCCAGACAACGGAGACTGAAAACACGATGATTGTGCCAATTACATAGTTTCTTTGTTAATTTAATTCGATAGCAAAATAATTCAAATGAACTGTCGTCAAGATTTGACCGAATAGTTCTAAAATATTTGGGCGCCGAGTGAGAAGTAGACATAATTTTATATATATATATATATATATATAATTTTTTACAAATGTCTACTTCTCACTCGGCGCCCAAATATTTTAGAACTATTCGGTCAAATCTTGACGATAGTTCATTTGAATTATTTTCCTACCAGCTGAGTTATGACATCCGATTGCAATCATCGTGAATAACGCCCAACCGTCGTCTGAAAGAAAAATGCGTTACTGTTCATGTAAAGTTGGATTAATTTCTCAATCAGGAGTTCTCCTGTCAACCTTAATCAATATCTGGGCATTGCCAGTAATGATTGCAGTTAAATAATGATCTAACTAGTAGTCGAATCTCGTAAGTCAATTGGTGCAGCGCTGGACTAGTAAATTGCAGGTTGCTGATTTTAATGCTGTATAGACCCAAATTCTTCGCACTTCACTTTCAAACATCTTTGCCAAGTACATGTAAAACTTACATCAAATCTAATGAACTAATTGCTGACGAAATCTCAACACGGATACAAAAGAATTGTGTGGCGTTTGCCAAATTACATCATCTCTCGCGTAGACATGATAACCGGATGTCAATGAAAGGACGTATGAACTGCGACAGTCAGTAGATGAGGTTGTGAAACTACATCAATTGAGACACACAATACACACGCTGATCCATTACCTTTCTCGTCAAGCAACATTAGCTAACAAAGGATTAGGTTGGAAGTGTAACGGAGATAGGGGGGTCAAAACAAAACGCAATATCAATCCATGAAGTCTTTCACTATTGGTTTGAGCCACCAGGTAAGGTGTAGACTTTCTGGTTAGGGTCCTAGGGAGGTCAAGAAGCAGTGGCCTCAGAGTTCTCCTATTATGGCTCAAAATCATTGTCAAGGGCGAAGATTTATTTACTCTTTGTGATCTGCTATAATTTTCCGTGTTACTAATGTTTCTCTCACACATTACTGCTTATTGTGGTTCATTTCAATCTCCTTTTTCTCTCTTCTTCACCTTTGTGCGGTATATGAAGTGTGGCGACTTGAACTGGTTCACTTCTGTGCACTGCTCCGTGTCAAAATTCAGCGATTCAGCCGGACACGAATAACAGTCAGCGAAACCAAAGCTACTTTAGATAGTCTCACGAAAAATTAAAATTGTTCCTTAGATTGAATAAAATCATAGAATTTAATTCCTGAGAAATTAAAAGAAAACAAAATATAGAATCACTCAACAAGTGTTTGTTACCACTTACCGGATGTTGAATGCCATTCAGGTGCACTAGCAAGCATTAACGCCAACGATAATTTAATCAGATACATTCCATATACTTCTGGGCATATACTACGTAGAAGTAAATTTCTAGCTTCTAAAGCTGAACAAAAACTTTTATGCTTATTCCAGTATGCTTCAAATTCTAATACTCTTTCATAAGAGATTTGACTTGGTCCACCGCCTGCTTTAATTTCAGTTAAATTTTCAATATAATTTGCTTTCAGATAGGTGGATATTTCACAGGGCACTCCTTCTCTCATTGATCGCCATCGTCGTGTTACAATTCCATTGACAACAACTTCATCACCAGGTTTTACACACTCTAGTAAATCATCTTCAATAGAAACACAAATTGATTTACGCATAACACCAACTGTCAGACAACCGAATTGTTCATGTACTCTAATTTCTTGATAATTTTTAGCCGAAAACTGTGATCCTATTGATAAACGTTTTAAATTCATACTGGAACATGGTTGTGATGAGGTTTGACGTTTAGGACAAAACCGTGGTGGTTTAATAGTATATTGATTTTCATAATTAGCTAATACAGTGAACATGTGTCCACATTGTTGACATAGATACTTTGCTTCACCTTCAATAATTTGGATAGGACCAACACGACTGACAATAGCTCTCAATGCGATAAATTTTCCGATATCATTTGATGTTGGTATATGATTTTTATACACTTCTGGTATAATCGGTAGTGCTGTCAAACGGATGTGTACTTTTGATTTGTTCCCAGATGATTGTTCACATTGACTTTTATTGATCTCTTCCAGCTGATTGGATTGTAAAACTTGACAAACACTTTGATTCAGTAGACTGAGTGTTTCATTAGGTTTAGATAGCAAAAGTTCTGAAAAGATACTATTAAATTCACAGAGATTATTAAAATGAACAATAATAGATTGATGAGGTTCTGAGTTCAGTAGGGATATTCGATAGATATCACTTCGATGTTCACGAAGTAAATATTCAGAGAATAAAGATATAATAGATTCATTTTTTAAAGACATGTTTGATGACAAATTTTTAAATATAAATCATTAGATAAAAGAAAATAATTCACTCTATTAAATCAATGAAACTGGATCTTAGATGATGATGGGACCTGAAATATATATATATAAACAAAAGAAATAATCAGTTTTCGGGGTTGTAAGGATATCAATTAAACTTTAATGTACATCTCGTCAAGAGCTGATATTAATTTGACAATTATGAGAAGAATTCCCAGACCAGTGGTCTCCACTATTTAGGTAGTTAGGCGGACATTCATCAGTGACGGTGGCAATATATCGCAAAATAGAAGTTAAAAGTCACGAGTCACTAAATTCGAAACAGGTGACTAAATGATCAACGGATTGGACTCGTAACTTGGACGTTTTGGGTATATTCCCTAGACGGATTACGGCTGAAAACTTCTAGAGTCCAAAAATAAGATGAAAAAGATCTCGTGCCAACTAGCACGAAACCTAGGTCGAGCAAGGCTTCCTGCCGATTGCCTCCAACTATCTAATATCATCGAAAGAGCTCCATTATAGATAAGATTTTATTTTGATATATCACAGTGTTATACAGTAATATTAACTGATGATAACGTTTCGAGCACAATTTATTGCTGCTCATAATCATATCAAGTCACTCGCACAACTTTTTACTTCATTTATATACAGGAGTGAAATTGATGATTAGACATTTGAATAAAAATCAATATAGGATAATGTATATTCAGAAATAACGTCATCAGTTAATATTACTGTGTAACACTGTGATTTATCAAAATAAAATCTTATGTATAATGGAGTTATACTTTACCAGTGCTTAAGTTTTATACTTATATCAAACGAAAAAAGCGGTCTAGTGCACTATGAATTCCAGGGATTCTCTAGTTGATATCGATTCTTGAGGAAATATATATTGAAAATAGAAATAAACTAATTTTACGATAAAATTACTGTGAGACAGTAAGCAAGGAATAGTTTTGCGTCTACATACATGTTCAGATACATTGAGCAATGCTCCTGCTCATACGGTCAATGGTATAAATGAAACTCTGAAGTTAAGCAGTGGGCTTTCACTGAAGTGCGTGTATATCATCAGTCAGCAATGAACATCAGCCTGCAAGAATAAACTATGAGGAATATTTACAGTAAGGTGATTAATTACAACACTAAGCTGCTGAGTCACTAAGGAAAATAAGACTTGAAAGTGTAAATCCTATACATTTATGACGAAATAAGCTGTCAAAGATGAAAACAATCAGGCATTCATAGCGACCTTTTAGTTACTAAGTGCTTAAAAACATACCATTCAAAACTGGAAACGTAAGCACAGGACCATTAGGATTCGCAATACAATACCTAGCAGCACCATGAAGTAGAAAAGTAATACCTAAACTTGAATTACGGAAACATTTCTAATATGCAAACACTTAGCAATTAGTAACGCCGTATGTGTGACAAGTTTTAACAGTAAGTAATTGCCTGCACCGCAGTAGATGAAGCAGGATCCCACGCCGAATGCATTATGCAGGCTTTTTAAAGGTAGGCACAACAATAACTTCAACCTACACTGATACATTCTCGTTTTCGCATACTTTGCTAAACTAACCAGTAATTTTCATGATTACAGTCGCCTTAACCCTTACCGACGTTTAACTGTAAACCAACATTAATGGAATTATTATGCGGCTCACGGCACTATAAATTGATTCACAGGTTAGTCAATTCTGATGTGGAATCTTAAGTGTTTTTTGTTTTTTATATATTCTGAAAGGGAGTGCAATACACTGAATAAAGTACAAATATTCCAACAATAACGCCTAGTTGGTCATTTAGATTCTTAAAACAGTCATCCTATACCATTTACATCTGCCTGATGAAGCAAGACGCCTTCTGCATACGACGTGATGAATCCCACTAAGGTCTGCATTCCACAACAGTGAGTACAACTTTGCTGAAGATGACTGGATAGGACTAAATGTCATAAATGCTGAACTTAATGTTTGACCATGGACGTCTCCAAGCTTACAAAAACCCCAATACATACTGCATGTCAGAATATGAAATTATTCTGCTTAAATACACTGACCCACATATACCGGCTTACCTGCAGTCATATTTATTAATGCTACAATGAGCATCTCTCGAGTTTCGAGCAACTTTGAAAAAGTAAGACAAATAAGGTCAGGGTAATTGTAGTTCGAACAAACAAGAACAATATTGTGTCAAATTATTTCTTTTATTACTTGTAACAATTGTCTTCGTGTGTTCCTTCTTGCTCATAAGATTAAAAGCAATTCGAAAAATTACTGTATGCTTACTGATTCCTTTTCAAGCTAGAAAAAACATTTGGAGTCTCCTGCGTGTGGTAATTGATTTGATTTGATTTTGATTACAGCTTGATGCCACGCCGTATTTTCAGTACAAGTATGGAATTTTCAGCATGGATATCGGTAGCCCGAATTTTGCAGGCCGACCATAGATATCAGGTGTGCGGTACGTCCAACGTTTGCGTTACATTTTTGCGTGATTCGTTACATAAAATTTATCTTGTTGTAATCCTTGCACAAGTACTCTACTACCTCCATACCTGTAACTATTAACTCTCATATCAAATAGTTATGGTTAACCAAAGTAAAAAGCAGCGAACTCAATCCCCTGTAAAACTGATGACTAATTTTAAGTCGTTGATTGCTACATCAAGCAACACACTTCCTACAAATGGTTATAGTGAGCCACAAAACTCAATTGTATGTCGTAAGCGTCGAGCTGAAACTGAAGATAAAACTATACTGACAGTTAGTATTAGCGCTACTCCCAAAAATTCAGTACCCTCTGCTCATACAGAAACCCTCCCTACACCTTATGTGCTTATCGAAAAGCTCCAGCCTTCAAGCTCTGTTTCAGTACTGTCTTCAGAAATAGAACTTCTAAAGTTGTCTATAGGAGAACTTAAGGCCGAGTTAAGGGACTTAAAAAACAATGAGTCAGTAGATCCTGGAATTTCTGATACCAATACCAAAATTTCCAATTTATCAGATCAGATCAGTGATATCAGATTGCTGGTCTGTGAACTGACACCTTTAACTATTCTCATGAAAACTGTAGACCTTAACAAACTTGACAATGAATCGATATCTAAGGTGGATAACCTAATTAACTTTGTTACTACAGAAGTAACAAAACGACTCGACGCTAAACTAAATGCTATTGTCTACAACGTTCCGGATAATGAGGCACTAAAAAGGGTACAGCGCATCCTACTTAGTGAGGCGAAAATGCCCAACTCCAAGACTAAGTGCCACAGGCTGAAGAAGAGTCAACATGAAAAGTGTTGTCCTATTCGTTTTCAGTTCGAAACACCGGCAGAGGCCAGAAAATTCATCCACTCCCAACACACCCTATCGCAAGCCACAAATTACAAACTAATAAAGGTTGCAGTGGACAAGACAGTCATAGAAAGGCGCGTATATAATCATCTCACTGAGTCTAATTGTGGAATAAACAATAGGACATTGCAAGCAGCAATTATACCCAACCCTATGAGAGATACCGTAGAATCCACCGCACCACCCCACTCAAACCACACAGAATTATCCTCTCAGAGAGAGACACCAACCGCAAGGCTAATGAAATAGCCAATAATACTACACTGCCTATCACCGTAGATATAGACATGTCACCAAATAATCCCGGAAAAAAGTCAAAATCCCCCGAAAGTCGAACCTGTCCTCTCCTGTCCATAAGTCCATTGGTAAAAGAAAGGAGAATATGACCCCAAATCATGCCAACAACAAAAATGGCAGTATAAATAAGCCCACATCTCCCACGGTCAATAGTATTGGCACCCAAAACGTGCGAAATAGCACCATAGCCCACATTGATAACCAACGCCAACACAATGCCTCCCTCAGTAGTACAAGTGGCAATAGTCAGAACTCGTGCACCAACAACTCAGGGTATCCAGAGTATGGCACACAAGTATATTTTGAACGGATATATGGTACAAGTCTGCTGGGAACTAACCCACAAAGCAGTACACACGAAACCCATACAAGGACACAACTAGTACCTAACAATAGGTGGAATAATAAACCATGGTCTCCACAAGGTCCTAATCATTTTTTATCCCCTGCGTCCCTGTCAGCGTTGAAAAAACAGCTGGTAGGGATGTTAACACTCCTAAACCGTTAATGCTGGCTCCCCCTTTGCATGAATATAAGAACAGTCTAGTACACCTGCATCCATTAAGCACACTTGATACATGCACAAGTTTAGGTCAAATAAAGATCCCTACCCATGTCTCTGGCTTAACTAAAAATAAAAATGCCTTAGCCTATAGCAAATCCAGTACTCCAACGCTTAATTCTTCACTGAAAACAGCACACACCAACCCGACAGACATAGATGAGCGTGATGTTGAAACTCCTCTTAACATAGGGTCGTCATGCCAGTCAGTACTACTGGGTGCTGAACCATACTCGGGGCTGACTAACGAACTTAAATACTTCAAATGCTACTTCAAATCTCATCTTTACCTGATCCTCATAAATGCTAGATCTGTTCTAAATAAACTACCGATGCTCATAGCACTCATAGTAATATACAAACCACCTATAATTGTCATCACTGAATCCTGGTGTAATTCGAACATACTGGATGATGAGATAAGCTTAGATAACTACACACACTTTCGGTGTGACAGGGAAGGTGGTAAGGGAGGGGGTCGTCTCATGTACTTTCTGAATGCACTTACTGTATCACGGCTAGAAAGTAGTACACTTAACATGCCTGAGACTTTATGGGTTAACTTACACTTAAAAAACGCAATGGTATTAATTGGATGCACCTACAGAGCACATGGTACCTTTAGTAATTACGAGACCCAACTTATTAATACTCTAGAACAATTATCCTCCCTACACTACGATCATAAGATCCTATGTGGAGACTTTAACTTACCAGAAATCAACTGGGAAATACCCACAGGCCCAACTAAATTTGTTAAGTTC